ACGGTAGGTTACGTTTTGCCACGTTCTGCCCAGAAATGGCTCAGAAAAGATTTTCATACAGTGCTGAATTCAAGTTAAAAGTGATCCAGTTTGCAAAAGTGAATGGAAATCGTGCTGCTTAAGTTTGGTCCTTCTCCAATGGAGAAAACAATCCGAGACTGGCTACAGGAAGAAGAAACCCTACTGAAAACGCCACGGCAGAAAGCCATGAGAGCGTGGCAGAAAGCCATGAGAGGCAATATATGAAGACAGTGATTCGTCATCAGACACAGATGAGGACAAGCTAATGGTTGGTAGTTTTGACAGTGATGAGGAGTTGTATGAATTTTATGATGAATCAAACTTGAGTTCAATAACTTTATGTAATGCATTTTTTTTTTCAAATTTCGGGCCCCCAAATTAAGGTGTGTCTTATACATGGAAGCGTCTTATACATGGGGAAATACAGTACTATGAGGATTTAAATATGTAATTCCCCCATGGAAACAAAGAATAACAAGATTAAATGCCAGCGCATGTGCATGCGTGCGTGTGTATGCATGCGTGTGTGTGTGTGTGTGTGTGTGTGAATGTCCACATATGTGGACACTCAGATACAAGTCACTGCAAGAAAAACCAGGCTCCCTGCCAAAGAATTGTCAACATTTCTAAAATTTCATGCTGTGACAACAAAAGGTAGATCCTGGGCTTTTGTGATCAAGATTCTCAGAACACAGATGCATTTGCTGGTAACCTGGCATTGTGAGGCAACAAGTCAACACACCTGCCACAAGTTGGAAAACACACCTTTTAGAGAAAACCATGTTTTGTTAGGTTATACCATGTGGTAAAAATCTAGTACCTCTGATGAAAGTCTCCTGGGACTCAAAACTGATCCATGAATGTAGTAGGCCTCTGTTGTTTGCACTATCTGGCAGCTGTTACCACTGTTCAGCCCCATACAAACACTACTATGATAAAATCATTTCAGTTTTCCTTTGGAAAACTGTCCCACTAAGTAAGGTAGGGTTGTTTTCAATCTAGAGTTACAGAGAGGAACTTAACTCAGGGCTTTGTGCCCCAAATCCATCTGTGTCTTGCTCTTGAACTTTTGCATCATATGAGCACAAGGTATGTCTTTTTTCAAGCCAATTTGAATTAGATTTCTCTTACTTGCAATAAAAGAATTCTAATACAGCAAATATCACACTATTTGGATAAAATACAGTGTTTGGGATAAATGTTACTAAATGTTGAGTATTTTGCTATGTGTTCCGAATTAATTTCATCCAAATAAAATGCCAATCTTAGTGAAGCGATGGCTAACCCAAAAATAATTGTTTTCTTTAGAATGCATCTTACATTTCTCTTAGGGAAAAGAATTGCCTGCCTAACTCTCCCCCTAGAAGACTAAAATTTGTTTGTAAACCCTAAGCACATAGATGGAAAATTTCTTAAAAATGGGGGCTGTATTTTAAACTTACACACCACAGGTATCTAATGTCTGTTCCAAAGATTGCAAAGGGAGGCAGTTCCAATGGATATTTTTGGCATCGCCAGAGAAAAGCAAAGTGACTACAGCATAATTATTGTGGCTAACATATATGTTAACATGTCATGACATATAACATGATGATATGTCAATAATCATGCTAGTTTCAGTGAGGCTTAGCAAAAGACAATTTTTAGGCACAGACCAACAACCCAACCCTGTAGGAATATGTACTGTATAGTGAACTCAGCACACCGCCGGGAGAATCAAGGTCTGGAATGGTTAATTATCAACTAGTCGACAATTCGATATGGGAACATACTCAGAATAATAGCAAATAGTATCAGATAAACTAAGCGGTCAGGAACGTAGAAGTGGGGCGAGAGTGAAAGGGCAGTGAGCCAGGAATCAGGGATCTACCAGAACTTTAAAAATCTCTGGTAGAGCCCTATCACTAACTTGACTCGAACCCCAGTTTTTCTAATCCATAAAATGGTTAGGTTAATCTAAATGGGGAGTCCTGGGCTTCTGGAGTCTGTGGCATTCCCCTCACCACCTCCACCCCCTACCCCACCCCTCGGGGAGAGCACCTCCAAAAGGCTGAGAATAGTCATTATTTGGCAGTAAAGCAACTCCGGGGACCCCATCGGAGATTCCCTCCCCAGCCGCCCGCAGCAGCTTGGTCCCGGCCGGCTAGAGGAGCGGCCTCCGCCTGAGTCCTCACGGGATTCCCTTGGCCTCCAGGACGAGGCGCGTCCTCTCGGCGAACGGGCAGAACCTCATGCTGTAGAGGCGGATCAGGCCCTCCGGGACTGGTCCTGGGGGCGCGCTCCCTGCAGGGGAGAAGTAGAGGTGGTTACGGCCCCAAGAGCGGGATACCCTGGCTCCCACCTCCCCGGGGCCCAGCCGCACAAAGGTCCCAATGCGCTGCAGCTCCGGTCGGTCCCCTGAGGGAGTAGGTCCTCCCGGGAGGCTCGGCTCCGGAGCAGCCGAACCGAGACCCGCGGCCAGGGGTCGCCGAGATCTCCCCCGCCTATCGCGCCGGTGAGGCCTTACCCTTCTCGAGGCTCCTGGAGGATCCTCCGGACATCCTGGCGCAGCGCAGACTGGGATGTGGCCACTGGCGTGCAGGCTATTCAGGAAGTAACTAGCTCCTCCCTTCCTCTATCAGAAGCGCTAACCGGGGATGGGTTGCCACCTCCGCTTGGGCTGTGTTCCCAGGATCCAGCGCTTGTTGGGCGTTTAGAGGGAACCCACGCGCAGCGAGCCCTGGGGGCCACCCAGACCGCCGCACCCAGGCTCTACTTCATTCCCTCTGCAAAAAAGGAACGCGACGCCGCCGGGGCTCGAGTGCCTCGTGGGAAATCTCCGCCCAGGAGCCCACCCGTTGCTCCCGGATCCAGGGCCAGCCTTCCCGGTTTGGTGGGGATCGCGCTTAAAACTCTGCAGCTGGCAGTTGTGCCAAACTGGACCGTGCTGGCCAGAGATGCCCACGTCGAGATGCACAAAAGAAACCCTCAGAGCCATTGCCAACCTCTTACGATGACGGTCTCCCGTCCGCCCGAGTCCATGCCTGACCCTGACCTCGCAGATTCCGCTCCCGCTCAGGGAAACGCGCTCCAGCTGCCCTCACGTGGCGCACAGACCTGGTCCAAAGCCCCTCAGCTCCAAAGCTTCCTCAGCTTCAGGGCCTGTGGCCTGGGCCCACCGCGCGCTCGGCTCGCCTTTCTAGAACGCGCTCTTCAAAGGTTACTACTGTTCGAGGCTCAGTGACAGGTCGCCCAGCCAGCCACCCGGACAGCCTTTTCTTTTCTCTGTTAGTACTCGCCTCATATGACTATTGGGAGGGCGACTGTCCCTACTGTCACCCACAGGACGTATCCTCTTAGTGTTAACCCAAAGGAAACTGCACGACTCTGGATATTACTAACCTCAGATGGTGCTGCTTTCAAAAATCTATTAAACATTTCGATTTTGAAGTTCTAGTAGGGGCATAGGCTCAAAGCCAGTCAGGCGGACTGAATAAATTTAGTCCAATAGGTCTATGGAAAATATCTGGCCAGAGTGTCTGCTTAAACAGCCCCTCTTAACTTAGGGGTTAGGAAAAAAGATTCCAGTGTACATGGTACAGATACCGGCAAAGCGTTGTCAATGTTTTGCTTGTCTGCTTAGATTTGAAAGCTGGTGACTCCTGTGCCATTTATTTGCGGGGGTGGGGGTGGGGGGAGTAGTGGGGGGTGGTCTATTTTCATTTTGATTAGCTCTGTTATGAGAGAGGCAGAGAGTAAAGTGATAAGTATGAATCTTGGAGCCTTCCTTCCTGACTCCAGCCCTGTGTTAGCTTGCTAGGTAACAAAGTATCACAAATCGAGAGGCTTAAACAAAGGACATTTATTTTCTCACAGTTCTGGAGGCTAGAAGTATGAGCTCAAGGTGTCTGCAGGGTTAGTTCTTTCTGAAGACTGTGATAAATTTTCCATGCTCCTCCTCTAGCTTCTGGTGTTGGCAATCTTTGGTGTTCCTTGGAGCATATAAGCATTACCCCATCTCTGCCTTCATCGTCCAGTGGCATCCTCCTTGTGTGCGTATTTGTGTCCAAATTTACCCTCTTTATAAAGACACCAGTCATGTTGGATTAGGGGGGTCCACCCTAATCCAGTATGACCTCATTTTAATTGAATTAATTACAACTGCAATGAACCTATTTCCAAATAAGGTCACATTCTGAGGTATTGGGAATTACAGCTTCAGCATATTAATTTATGAATTTGTTATGAAACCATATGAATTATAATAACCCCTTATTAAACATGTGAGTGTGGAAAAGTTCCTTCATCTGTAAAATGGGGTGGAAAAACCTAATGCCTCTCTTACAGAGTTTAAAGAAGGATTAAATTAATGAATATGTAGAAAGCACTAAGAACAGTTCTTGGCACAGAATAAGTATTAAATGTTTGTTACTATAGCAGATACTAAGTGAAAAAAAAGTAGACCAGATCAAATATATGGTGATAGAAAGAAAACTAACTCTGGGTGGTGAACACACAATGTGATATATACATGATGTATTACAGAATTGTATACCTGAAATCTATGTAATTTTTCTAACAATTGTCACCCCAATAAACTTTAATTTAAAAAAAAGTAGACCATATTTTTGCTAAAACATAGGCCTTGCTTATCTCTTATAGAAAATTAACTTTTTAGGAGGTCTTTTAGCACATGAATATTATGCAAACTAACCGTATAAATTTAAACCTGGCCCACCAAAACCTGATTGACCAAACTAAAAATTTCACATCAAGGTATTATTTGAGAATTTTTACTTGGAATGGCCTGCCCCCTAATTAGTATGAATAGTGTAACATTTTGTCATAATGATTTGAAAGATCCAATTCATCAATAAAGTAAAAGTTAATTCCTCAAAGGAGAAAATTGGAAAGAAAATATATGTCCCAGGAAACTACAGTAGTGTAGCACTGCTCTGCATTATAGGGGATCATCTCCAAGCCCTTTGTGGTTATGCGCATAACATGTGAACATCTGGGTACGCACTGCTGTTAATCACAGGGAAAAACAGAGTATTTTGCCTTTTTGCAGCTGTAGTTGTCAATAATTAACCTCAGTGGGCTAACCTCAACTAATTCTGCTGGGTAAAGATCAAGAGTTAGAGGTCCTAGTGATAAGAAATACCTTCTAAATACCTTCTGTCTTTGGTGACCACATACACACACTTGATACAACATTGTTCTGTGACTTTTCAGGAATGCAACTGGAATAATGTTATACTTACTAATATATAATAAATTGATATTGAAAAGGCTTTTTTCTAGAGTAAGTTAGGAATATTGAAAGTCACATGAAGTGTTTCGCTGTTATTATTTTAGTCAATTATATTTAAACTCTCTTTTAAAAAATTAAGGTTCCTTAATGTGAACTTGTGAATAAGAATGTTTCTTTAAAAATTAACATTCTATGACAGTCCATTGCAGGGAGAAATAGCCTTCATCAAAGAGATTCCAGGGAAAGATAATGGCTGAATGACTGAGTGAAAGAATTAGTAGGGGGCCGGCCGAGTGGCATGTTGGTTACGTACGAACTGGCTGGGGATGCCAGAGGGCCCTGGTTGGGATCCCACATATGAGGGCCAGTGACATTGCCCTCTGCAGCTAAGATGGTGAATGGCAGCTCAACTTGGGGCTGGGCTGCCATGGGTCCCCAGAGACAGCGTAGGCTGCGGCCCCCTGCCGCAGTGGGTTGCCATGGGCTACCGTGTGTAGCCAGCAGCCAGCTTGAGTGGCCAGCAGCTGCCGTGAGCGGCCATCCAGAAGCCGGCGACTGATCTGCCTCACCCGGGAAAAGCGCAATGATGGTGCCAACTTGGGCCACTGAAGCAACATCCTCCACAACTAGACTGAAGAACAAAAGGACAGCAACTTGTCTGTTCCCCTTCCCCGATTCCCCAACGCTGTTCTCCTCCCTCAATTCCCCCAAAAAATCTTAAAAATATAAAATAAAATAAAAAATAATTTAAGGGAACTTGATTACCTTCCTTCCTTTCTTAGACTTAGCCCGCAATAGTATTCTATGTACTCAGAGAAAAAGTTTAGCACAGCCTGTGACCAGGTGGCCAGCCTGAACGTGATGCATGCTCTGTGTGTGCGCAAATCACCTTCCTTCCCAGGCTGTACAGCTGGGGGAAATGACTTGCAACTATGTAATAGGACCATGTGTCTGTACCACACATTTTATAAAGTCCTTTTCAAATACATTATTTCATTTGATTCTCATAACAACCCAGTGAAGGTAGGCAGGGAAAATATTATGATTCACTTTACAGATGATGAAGTTAAATTTCAGAAAGTTTCAGTGGCTTTTCCAGTTCCCACCTACCCAGTATGAAGCAGAGACAGAGTAAGAACATGAATTTTTACGTCCAGGGCTCTTTTCTCTAAACCACAGAGCCACTGAGAGTATAATCTGAACTGAGATAGTTTCACCACTTCATCCTCATTTTCTTGTGGACAGAAGCTTTTGTCGTAGAATACAATGAAATGCTTGATTGTAAACTTGTCAGGCCAGGTTTCTACCAGTAAAAACTTAACGCAGAACACGTGTTTTTGGAAAGCACTGTTTCTTTGTCTCTAGTCTAAGGAAACACAAGTAATGTGAAAGACCCTAAAGGCTAAAGGAAATTGAAGAGAAGTCAGATGAAATGATATAGAGTGAAATGTACTGGTGAATTTTGGTGCTTTTAAGCTTTTACTTTTATGAGAAGGTTCATTGGAGAATTTAATGCAGATGAGATTTGAAGCTTTGAAGAGGATCTTAAGCCGTGGTGAGGTTATTCAAACTCAAATCTTAAATGTGTAATGATGGTGAAGCAGAGCCTGGTTGAAACCCCTCTCAAAGTCCACCGGCTTCACCTTTCCTTGACCTATAGTTTAGATCATCCCCCTACAGAGGTTAGCCTCCATGCAGACCTCCGCCCCCCTCCCCCCGAATCCTCACTTAGCCTTAAGAGGGACGCCTAGATTTTCCCTTAAACACCCCAAGCTGGTCTGAGAATGTTAACGCAATTTTTGGAGGCGTTAACCTACTGCCTTCTCCAGCCACCAGTGCTCTGATAATAAACGCTTATTCTATGACCAAACTCCTATGTCGGTCTATTGGCTAAGCGGCACAGGTAGCACTGAGCTCTGGGCTCAGTTGGCCTCTGGTTGCAAAGGTAAACCATGGTCTTCAAAAACTTGGTACTTAATGCTCTCCTAAAGTGCAATTTTAAGTGATATTTGTACCACAATTTAAATTGATTCCTATATTTGTAAAGTAATATATTTTATTACATTTATAAACTGTTTCCTCTTTCATCAGCTCCTACAGTTTTCCTCCTACATTATTTAATCTTTCACTAAGTGCATAGATTGTCAAACATATGTGACAGAGTGCCATCCACGACAGCTACGAGTGGTGCCCCTGTCATGGGCCCCATGCTTTAGAGGACCCATCCATCTGTAGAGGAGGATATACAGCACTGGACAGTCTCCCAGCGCTCAATATCTCCCCAGCGGGACTGCAACCCTAAACAACCCTAAAGATCTACCATTGTGATTAACCCCTTCCCGGCCCCAGAAAAATGCTTCTCCACTTTTGCCCCAGGTCCCTGAAACAAAAGACTTACTTACTGTGTTTGAATGCTGTGAGGTGTGTGTGTTGTGCACTATTCAGCCCAAAATGCCAACAGTGCTGAGCCTGAGAAACCCTGTTTTAGCTTCCCTTGTTAGAACCATAAAATCAACTTCTAACATCTTCCTATTTCCATTCTCCCTAGTCTCCTACCCAACTGATAATCTTCCTGCAGACAGAATAATAGTTTATAAACACAAATCTGATCATATTATTCCTGTTTAAAATCACGTAATGTCTTTCTATGGCTCTTAGGATAAAGACCAGAATTCTCAATTTGGTCTTCACCTAGATGGCCCTCGGCTCCTTCACCAGCTTCATCTTCAGTATTTTCTATTGATCTCCCTCTGCTCCAATCACACTGCCCTTCCCAGTTTATTCTGACTTCCTGCCTTAATAATTTTCCAAAACTGCCCTCAGCCCCCCCCCCCTTCGGGGGCTTGAAACAACGTCTGGCTTGGTCAGCACTCAATATTAATTTCTGCTATTGGTATTTACTAATATTGTAGGTATTTGCTACAGGCTGGGCCCGGCCACTCCAGCACCCACTCCGAGGGGGACCCGGGGGGACCCGCCCCTCGCTTCGCTCGCCGCCCGCCCATTGGCTAATACGAGCTGGCGGAAAAGGCAGAGCCAATGGGCGCAGGCTTACGGTCTCCTGGCTACAGTGCAAACAGTGGAGGCTGCACCAGCCCTGCAACCCGTCACCTCAGTGTAACGGTTGCACACCGGAACCGGAGCCCAGCGTTTGCTGTCCGGGGACCCGCTGAGAGAAACGCGGCCCATGGCACAAAGCCGGGAGCTAGAGGAGCGCCACTTGGCTGCCCCTGGCAGCGCGTCTCTGTCCGTGAGGTGTGGCGTCGCTTCCCTGCGACTGACTTCGGTCTGGCGGAAACTCCCTCTGACTTACATCCCTTCTCTACCATCTTCTTCCTCCCATTCTTTAGATCTGCTCTCCCGGAAACTTCGACCTCTTCTCAAACCCATCGCCTTCCAGCAGATTCCCTCCCTGCGTGATCTCTTCTCCCCATTCCCTTATTCAATGACTGCATCTCCATATGTCTTTCCCCGCCCCTCGCTCACTCCCCCAGTATTGCTCTCCTCCACTGTTCATTTCTGCCTTCTCTTTCTGGCTCAATATTGCCGTCAGTGATTGGTTTTCCCGTGACCTTTCATAAGTACCCCCACCCCCACCCATCCCAATGACAATCCCATCCCATCCCTTGTAGTCTTTGGTGATCTCTCCCCAAATTTAGGGCCGTCAATCCCTTCCACCTAACTCCTAACCACCAACTTTGGATTTATTTGTTTTTATAATGGCCTTTGAAAAGCATAAAGCGTTGCACAGATAAAGGTGGTATTTGTTTCCTGCCATATTCTCGTGTGTTACCTGCACCCTGTTCCACACAGCATACTCTGCCAGCCCTGGCTGTCCTGTACAATCTCTTGAAGCTTTTTACCAAACCAGTGCCTGTCTCTTACGTTCTCCACCATCTATCTTTAAGCATATCTTTAATATTTAAATGAAACTAGAATCTCCCCTTATCTCAAACTTGCCTTACTTCCAGCATACAGCCACCACACACTTCTTACTTAAAAGTATGTTCCTTTTGTGTTCTAACCTTCTCATTCATGTTGACCTAATTCCTTTTATTTTCTACGTTTATCTGTATTTTTAGATCTAAAATATGGCTACACATGCTTAATCTTTGTAAAAAAGGCAATTTTTCTACTCTACCTACCACCACAAAGCAGGCCGTCATAGTCAGTTTTTTTTATTATTTATTTTTTAAATCAAAGCTAATTCTAAAAGAAAGACCCGAGATATACCCTGTTTTCAATTAGGATCAAGCTTCTCTCTCTGCTGTTTTCACTTTTTCTTTTTTCATGTATACAAGACCCCAGAAATCCTCTTGAGACTTTCTCAGGTTTGATCAGAGGATGTGCTTTACTGAAAAAGTTCTCTGAAGAAGGAACTTAAGACCTACAGAATTTTAGGTGTTACATTTAAATTTCTCTAGTGCATGGATTCAAGCTGTCCTCACAGCCAAGTATAACTGTTCTTTTAGAGATTATTTTGGGCAGAAAGGGGGTGAAAATTAGGATAGATGTGTTTCAAAGATTTTGATGACCGTTTGATTCCTTTGTCAAAAACGAAAGTATTTGGAATGTATTGTATTGATGATGACATATCTTTTCCCCAAAGATGGGTGCAAGGATTCCCTAAGCAGAGTGTTCATTTTGTCAACGATAGCACCATTTGCTACCCTAGTGGGAATTTCGTAATATTTATTAATATTGAAACAAGGAAAAAGACTGCACTCCAGTGTATGAATGGAATTGTGGGCGTCGTGGCAACTAACGTTCCTTATGAAGTTGTGGCTTTCTCTGACCGGAAGCTAAAACCCCTCATCTACATATACAGTTTTCCTGAATTGACCAGAAGGACCAAATTAAAAGGTATCCTGTATTCCTCTGCCATAACTGAAGGATTTTGTTAGAAAATGTAACCAAATCTAGTTCTTATAAATGAAGGTTTTTTGGGAAGGGGTGTGTGTGTGTGTTTTACACATTTTTAAAGAAGGAATCAGGCTGATCACAAATTATTAAGTGGACTAGAGAGAGCCTTGCTACTCAAAGTGTGGTCTGCTTACCTGCAACGTTGGCATCACCTAGGCTGCTTGTCATAGGCTCATGTCAGATTTACTGAATTAGAATCTGCATTTTAACAGGATTCCCCAGGTGATCCATATGCACTTTATGCTTGAGAAGCACTGCCCTAGAAGACTCATTTACAGCACTAAATGCAGCTTGAAAACCTTTTTCTGAACAATTTTTTTTTCCTGATGATTTATTGAAAATCCAGGTGAATTGATGTTGCATAACTTGTAAAGATAAGTCTCAATTTCCTTTTCCATGAAATGGGAATAATGGTAATATCTACTGCTAAGGCTGTGGTGACAATAAATGAAATTATATATATACATATATATATATAGTCATTATATGACATGTCATATATATAATATATCAGTCAATGTTACCTACCATATAAATTATGATTGACTCATCCTTAGATACAGCTGACTCAGACCGGGCTGCTGTACATCTATCTACTAGAGCCTCCATCTAACGAGTCCCTCATTTAACACATCATGGACCGAAATCTCAGGAGAGCTTAAGGCTGATGTTAGTTCTGTTGCCTGATGGATCAATATGTGTTTGGGTCAAACCAAGGAACTTTAGTTTAACATCTTATATGTGGGAAATTTGTGTTCTCACAGATTAAAACAACTTTTAAAACATAACCCATTTGTACAGTGGGAACTGTGTATGTGGATTGTACCTACCCTTCATCTTTAAAATTTCCCCAGCTTGGTTATTTGGCTATAGCCCTGTCCAAGCAATTGAAAGTTAATCCAAACCAATAACCAACATTTATATTCAATTAAGAAACTCCAAAGGTATGCAAAATAATATTAGGAATAAGTCATCAAAGACACCTGTTATTACCATTATTATTTTATATCAACCTGGAAATTCTAGCCAATGCAACACAATATGAAACTGAGAAGAAGTAGAGCTATGGGACAGGAGATACTGGGTAATGCAGTAGTCCACTAGGACCAATAAAAGAGTGCTCAATGAAATGCTGGTTTCAAAATAAATAACCATGCAATTAGAAGATTTAAATACTTAGGAATAATCCAGAGAAGAACTGTGATTGACGTCAGTGAAGAAAACTACAAAAATCACTAATTTAAAATATTTAAGTATATAGAGGCATAGTCCTGGATGGAAAGCCTGGTTATTATGAATATATTTCTGATACTTTTCACAGAAAGTACCATATTTCCTCATGTATATGATGCTTCCATGTATAAGACGCACCTTAATTTTGGGGCCCAAAATTTGAAAAAAGAATGTATTACATAAAGTTATTGAACTCATTTTATTCATCATAAAAAAACGAAATTCGAAAAAAGGGGGAAATGCAAGGAAAAACATCTACAACCACTGTATAAGACACACCCAGTTTTCAGACCCCAAATTTTTTGAAAAAGGGTGCATCTTATACATGGGGAAATACAGTAATCCATAGGTTTACCATATGTTTTAAAGAGTCAGGAGTACTTAAATGAAATGATTCAAAAGTCCATCTGGAAGAACAAAAAGTAGAGAATGGGAATAATATGCAAGAAAACAATGGCAAGACAGAAGAACATTTTATCATTACGATGCTATAGTAATTAAGAGTGTGATATTGATGCAGGGATCACCAGATCAGTGGAAGAGCTGCAGACTGGGGACAGATTCTAGAATATATATAAAGCTAAGTATATGATAAAAGACACACACACAGACACACACACACACACACACAAATAGATGATATGGATTATTCAACAATGGTGTTAGGAGAACTATTTGAACAGAAGTATCAAGTTAGGTACTCATAGTGTACATCAAAACATATCAGATGAAAAGAGTTCAATATAAACAACAAACCCATTGAAAAGTAGAGGAAAATATGGTAGAAAATTGAAATGATTTCTGGATGAGGAAGAACTTTTCATACAAAGGAAAAAATTAAAAATAGAAAGATTGACAGATTAGATACAAATTTAAAACTTATGAACACCAAAGACCAGCCAAGTGGCTCAGTTGGTTAAGAGCTTGCTCAAGAGTATGAGCTCTGAGCAACAGGGTTGCTGGTTCAATTCACAGCCCGAGCTGAGCTGCTGCTGATCTGCCAACAGGTGGCAGGATGGCTCAGCAAAAACAAACAAACAAACACAAACTTATGAACATCAAAAATACAATGAAAAGTTAAAAGGCAAACTGAGGAAAGTATTTGGAATGAATATGATCAAACATTTTCAGAACATTTATGAAACAATAAGAAAAAAGACAAATATCCCATTAGAACAATGGAAAAGGAACTTGCCCACACCACAAAGTACATATTTTTTCTTTAAATATAACTTTGCTTTTTATAGCTATAATAATCATGGATTAAATATACATAATTCATTTTAAAAAATGAGACTTGGATCATACATAGTATTATCCTATTGGTGTTGTTATTGTTACATGTTATTGAGCATTGTATAATTAATAATTCTTTAAAAATGTGAATTTTAATGTTTGCATAATATCCCTTTATGGGATGTTTTAACTTATTTAACCACATTCATGTTTTTGGAGATGTAGGTTGTTTCAGTCTTTTGCTGTGATGACAGTGCTTTTAACTCCTTTGCACGCAAATCTTTGACCATATTTCTGATTATTTCCTTAAAAGTGAATTCTAGTTCTTGAAGTGGGTTTAACTGAGTCTGACAGAGTAAACATTTACTTCCCAGATAGACTGTATCAATTTATACTCCCACCTTTAGCAAAAAAGTGCTACCAGTTTCAGTGCACTGGCCTATATTAGCTTTAAAAAATATGTGACCTTGATAAGCAGAAATATCTCATCCTGGTTTAAATGACATTTTCTAAAATGAATATTGAAATGAAACATTTTTTGATGCTTAAAAAAATACAAGCTGTTTTTTGTTGCTGTAGATCAGACTATGCTAAATAAATTAAATGACAAAGTTTAGCATTGTATTATGGTCAGTTAAAGTGAGAAGGGTAAAAAAGCAGGAAACAGAGCCATTACAAATACACAGAAGTAGCAATAGAGACACCAATGTAAAAAAGACAGATATAGGACAAGGCAAAGAACAGCAGATAAAGGAGAAGGAAAACCAGAGCCTCATATGCAGGGAGGCAGAAGCAGACACTTCCCTGTTTTAGCATCTTCATGATGCAGCACATTTTAAACACATTGTTGCTAAGACTTTTAAATCATGTTTCGTTTCTTCAA